CAGTGGATATTTCAGCGAGTGGACTGGTCGGAGTTCAAGCGGTCCCTCTATCTCAGAAACCTTTCGAGAACAGCTGGGAGAGGCGTGGCATATTGCATATATTTCACGCTTGGGAGTTTTAGAGCGCGTCTCCCCTGCTGCTCAGAAAATGTTTGTCCAATAAATCTTAGTTGACTCTTGGTTGACAAAGTATCCAGTAGTCACCCCATTGCAAATCTGTGTTCCTCAGGGATCAATCCTAAGTATCATTTATTTTCCTTCGCCATTAACTTCATTGCTTCTGTTGTACATGTACGTGAACTAGGTAATACATCACTATTTGTGAACCATTTTGCTATTTTCTGTTGGTCCAGAAGTCTAAACGTCATTGAAAGGCAGAGTCAACCCGTCCTTAATCATCAATGGGGCGAGTCTGTACTTTTAATATTTCTGTGACAAAAACATGTACGCACTTCTTCAGCCATATTACATATTCATAACAACTGGGAGCTTTTGTGGGTGGTCACCAGCTTCCCTTTGTTGACAATGGTAGGTTTCTGGGACTTGTATTCGACGGAACCTTGAAGTGTCGCAACCATATCCGTCAATTTCAAACCGGATGCGTGTCTTCTCTCAACTTCATCCACAAGCTCAGTGCAATTTCAGTGAGGTTGGGAGTTTGTGGAAGTAGACCAGATTTATCTTCAACAGCTGTGTAAGATGACTCATTTGCTAAGTATTGGACTAGGTCAGTGTAGTTAATAGATCGGCTTCCCTATCAACCATTCACCCTTTGACTACTTTTCACAACACTGGCATCCGCAGAGCCACTGAGCCTATTGCACCAGTCGCAATGAGTGCCTCGTGGCAAATGCTGGCAAACCACCTTCGAGCGCAAACCACAATATTCAGTTTGCAGTCTACGGTGCGAATCTTTGAGACCTACCAGATCATCTAACCCGTTAGCTTGCCCTGAACCTGTTTTGTCAGCTCCTAAGCCATCCCTGCGTAAACCTCCAGGATCCATTTCTAGAAAGTGCTGTGTTCACTTCCCCTCCCATGTGAAACTCTTCCGCTATTCAATTCTTCCCTCAAAACTCCTCTTCCTCACTAGACCAAAACTCGATTTCCCGAAACGCACTTCTTTTCCTTTAATATGCCTAAAACACTTCATGGGTTGAGAGCAGATTATCCTGACCACATTTTCCTTTACACTGATGGCTCTGTTATCAATGATTCAATGGCTTGTGCATTATATTGTAGAACGTCTTCTCGCTCTTTTCAATTTCACGCATATTCTTTGTTGAGAAATTCGCGGTGCTGCAAGCCCTGATACCTATCAAATTAGGTTCGCCATGGCGAGATGTTCACGTAGTGCACTTAAGTCACACTAACTTCTTTCTTCCTCATACCATTTGACGACAGTAGTGGGATGACCAAATTCTCAGTGATGAAAAGGAGTACAAGGGCTTAAAAAAGGAGATTCGGTGAAAAACTAGGACAGTTCATTATATATTAAATAAGTGACGCATAGTGTGTACATATTACATTGTATTTTTATGGATGTATTCTCATAGATGTGAAGTACTTATGCATGCAAAAACTAACAAACCTATATTTGAAATATAGTCGTGGGTTCCTGGTACACGAATTTGTATTCAGCTTCAGAAACCTTCCTTCATAATTTGAATGCAAAATATTTGCTGGCTAGGACATGGTTAAACTTATATTTCTGCTTTCGCATTTTCACTATTACTATATATCTTTAGTGAATATGTAGTAAATATATGTCTAGCAAAAGAAAAAAATTGTGAACGTTTCTGTCCTCGACAGAAACAGTAACGGTTCACAAAAATTCTAAGAACAAGAACGAGTGAATCTCTCGAATTGCACTGAGAATAGAGAATATTCCAGTGAGGGTTACAGACATATTAGGGAAAACAAAAAGGAGCAAGTAATTTCAAAATATCGTGCTCTCAGGCAAGCAAGTTACAAAAGGAGGACATATCAAGGTTTTAAAAAAATATGCTGGGCCCTAAAAAAAGCATAAAAAGGAGGACATGTCCGGATGAATGTCTGGCTGCTGTAGACAAAACACCTGATTCACCGTCAACTATCTTGCCACTACGACTTTATTCGGGTTCCGAGTCATGTGGTAGTCACAGATAATAAGATAATCTGACCAAGTCACAAAAGCCTGCAACTTGGAAAATGTTTATTGGCATTCCCTACGCCCCCCCCCCCAGATTTGAAAGAATTTCGTAAATGGTCCATATTCAGTTCATGATAGTGACACAAAACCACTTTCAAATTAAGGGTGATTAAAGATTATGTAAATCCCAAGTGTTCATCTTGTTTCTCATATCATGAACTCTCATTTTATCAGCCATTGCCACTTTTCATGTATTGTCCTTGTTGATGTGACCGCCCCTCCCCCTCCCCCATCTCTGATGGCATCCCCCTTGTGTTACTTGACCTCAATACAACCAGTTTGAAGTTTTCTCCATTATTATTATTATTATTATTATTATTATTATTATTATTATTATTATTATTATTAACCTTGTGCAGCTTTAATTTTAAAATATATATGCTCCTTTAATCAAGTGTTGGTTGCATATAGAGCATTCCTTTTATAAAATCTATTTAAGTTTTTTTCAATTATTTTGACATGTGTGCCAATGACATCGCCAGTTGAACTGCCGTCCAAACCTGATTCAGTCGGTCCACGTATTTTAATGCAACCTGGGAGTTACACCATCATAAAGGGGAGTGGGGAATTGCCGTCACACTGAAGGCGCGACGGTCATTTTCAGACAGCAGGACGCACGCGCTGAGTTTATATAAAGGGTGTGAGCTCCTTGTGTGGAAGGATTGCATTTGGCCGACTGACTACAAGTAGTACAAGGCTATATTTCTTTGTGTTATCACCCAACAAAATGGCGGGGACACGTTTATTATCGTGATAAACTGTATCTCACATACAATTATCTGTTGAGCTTTCCTCTGGCCGATAATAAGTATGGGCGTGAATTTACTTACAGGATGATGATTGTGATGTCGCTACTCCACCCCGAAAGGATTACACGTCCAATACCGGGACCAATAGAGGACTCCTGTAGTCGGCAAGAGCGCTCGCGAATTTCCAACATCAGGGTGGGGGGAGATCATCCGTGGCCGTCCGCGAAATGAGTAGTTTTTGATGCGCGGGTCGCAGGTCGTCACACGTCGCCTGTACCACGTTTTGTGTTTTACAGCCGAATGGTCGGGCTGCACACCCTAACGGATAATTTCAGGGTATTGATCCTATTATCCCAGCCTGGCATCCAGAATAAATTCCGATACTGAGTGAGGGCTGGTAGGATCGTGTGAAGAACAGCGATCGTCCGTTGAATGGCTGTTGTCATCGTTAAATCAAGAACTGTGGTCTCTCCAAGAGCCGACCGATCGCTGTCGAGATTCTTTCTCCAATAATCTGATCTTGTTTAGCGCCCGCGGCTCGCCCGATTCCCTTCCCCACCCCTTTCGCAAGATGCGCGAGCTCTGTCGCGTGCGTAGCGCGAAGCTTTTCATTGGCTTGTTCAAAAGTTTCCAGAACAATCTATCTCCCGTGCTCTGCGGTTGGGTTAAGGGGAACGCACATCTTTGCAACCTTCACTTCTTAACATGTAATTGGTTGTTTATTGTTCTCCATCTAGTGCGTACGTAACTCGATACACGTCTGCGACCCTTCTACGAAGCTTCATGGTTTATTGCCCCTTTAGCAAGCGAGCTGTCCCAGAGTCTCTTAATATGACTTAGGGGAGTCAATCTCCTATTGCCCAAACAACAGATAGTAGAGGGTGTTTTTCGGAGGCGAGTGAACGCCGGGGAATCGTTGGGTGGCGGCTCGTGCAGCGGCACAAGACGAATTGTGCCAAAAGCGCCCTTCGCTTGGAGTTATTTTAAAAGGGCATGACACAAGGGTCGCGCTGTGCGATGGGGCATTGCGACTCATAGCAGTACCTTACGAGTTCCTGTCTCAGCACAACTGTTATTCAGCACCATTCATGTCAGCAATTTTCTTTTGTCCTAGCTCCAGTGACAATGCATTACGAATTTCTCTTGTGCAAATCTAGAATCAAATCAGGGAAAATCCTGTGTATGAAAAACAAATGTATTGACCATGAGCCATCCATGGAATTTTTCAAAAATAGTGAAATAAGAGACATCTGCAGGAAGATAGTGGCTGATCATGTGTGAATGTAGAATGCGGCCTTGAGGGCCTGGCCCTTTCTTTCTTTCTTTCTTTTTTTTTTTTTTTTTTTTTTTTTTTTTTTTTTTTTTTTTTTTTTTTTTTTTCTTTTCTTTTCTTTTTCTTTTTTATTTCATTTTTATTTTTATTTTTTATTTTTTTAAGCAACCTTGTATATTTGCACTCTACTATTCTTCACCATTTCAAGTAGTTAGATATCAGTTTTTATTTCACACAAAACAGTGTTTCAAACTAGGAATCTCGCCATGCTGGAATGTGAAGTTTAGAAATTATATTTCTACCGAATCATTCTCTGGTGAAAATGATAAGTTATCTAATTTTTACATGCATTTAGTATCTTTCAGATAATGTCTCAATTTGATTTGCTTTCAAGCATCACATTATTGAATCAAAAAATTGTGTTCAATACCTTTTGAATTTATTTTGTTAGCTTGTAATTCCCTATATAATAACCAACTTATAAAGCAAGGAAAGGCATAATATGAAAACAAATAAAGTCTGTAAGCGTGTGTCAATTTTGTGCTTGTGAGCGTGTGTGTGTTATGTGTAATGTAATTAGAACTTGCATATTATAATGATTTAAAGTCTGGGTCAAATTTTGTTTTACAGGGATTTTCAGACCAGAAAATGTAATAATGAGTGATAAGATGTGTTTTTTTAATAATCATTCCTAGAATTCTGTAATAAGGCAGTTTTCTCTTTGGGCATATTTTATTTATTTTTCAACAATAATTTGCTAATGTTTTCCATTTTACTACCCTCTTAGGATTTTGATACAGTGGGTGAATCACTTCAAACGGGTCTGCTATTTAATGGTGATTCCTTCTCAAATAACCAGCAAGTAGAACCCATTACAAATGGTTTCAGTTCTCCCCTTCCATTTGTTTGCACATTGTGTGAAGCAAGATTTTCTCGGAAGATGCTACTAAAACAGCACATTGCGGCCCATTGTGGAGAACCTCCTCATCCATGTAACAGGTAGAACCTCTGGAATATTGAACTATGCATAAGAGTAACAATCAGTAAGTTTTGAATTCATAAGGATGGAAAACCATACTTACTAGTTTTTCTTCGTAACACTTTTTTCATCACTGTTATAAAAACACACAATACTGTTTATTTTGCCTTTCTTAAAAAAAATATTATTAATTTTTACAATGTAAAGTATAAGCAAGATATTGCTAATTTTAAACTCCCATATATGTACAGAATAATGACAATGTTGTAATTGTTATTAAATTGGACAATGTAATTGGTTTATGTCAGATGTTCTCACTAGTATTTCTGTTCATGTTTTCTGTAAATATTAACATCATTTCAAAAATTTAGTCGTGCATCATCTTCCATGACAATACATTTTGTTATTATTGTCTTAATCTGCATTTTTTTGAGTTCATGAAAGACATGCTGGTCTCTAAAATTGAGCTTTCTGCACACAGAAGTTTTTGATGCAAGAATGATGAAATATAAGAAAATATGCTTTTTTAAAAATGGTTCAGTTCACAATTCTAACCAGCTAGGTATCTGAAATTTATTTTCAAAATAGATAAAGTAATTTTTATATCTAGAAATATATACAGTAACCATTTCATTCATATATAAACTTTTTTTATTGACATTTATGTAGCTTACCTGTTGAGTTATAAATTATGTAAATGATGCAGATGTTAGACATTTTCATGTTGACAACCCTGTTTCATAATTTTAACACACGCAAACGGAAGCAGTTGCACAGCACTTGCAGAATGTTAAACCCACAATCTAATTTAACTATGCATCATGTGATATGTAGCCACATAGATATAAAGAATCCATAGAATGTACTATTTATATAATTTATAACTCTATAGGTAAGCCACTTAAATGTCAACAGAAAAAATGAAAAATCTTTGAATGAAATCGCCACTATACATATTTCTGTATACAAAAACTTATTTTATGTACTTTGTAGCCCCTATGAAGGCCGAATAAATAGTTGAAACATCAGTAATGTTCGAAAGTGTTGGTTTCCTTACATTGACCTAAACTCGAGAAGTACTAGATACATAATTACAACAGGTCAAGAATCTTTGAATATTATTAATTGCTTATATACTTTACGTGTAATAATTTTATTCTATACATTTTTTATGTGTGTCTTTACAGATGTAATGCAGGCTTTACACAGAAAGTGGAGCTTGTTAAACATATGCTCACGCATTCTCCAGTTCAGCGAGTACCCCATCGGGTGTATCGGCCTTCTTTTGCTTGTGCTGTTTGTCAGTGTAGCTTTAGGAGTCCACAGAGCCTTCTACATCATCAGACATCTCATTCTACTGTGTTCAGGTGGATCTCTTACTACTCAATTTTGAATTTCATTGAAACATAACACTTGCACTGGATGTTTTGTGTTTCTTATTTCTATTTTATATTGCTTTGAAAAGGAAATTATCTGAATCATAATTTTGTTTCTCTTGCAGATTTCGGTGTATATACTGTTCCCTTGCTTGTATGAGTACTGTACAGTTGAGATTTCATCTTCGGCAACATGTGAGGAAAAGAACAACATGTTCCAGATGCTATAATACATTTTCTTCTTCTTTTGCCCTTCATGGACATCAATGTCAAGTTTCAAAGACTGAATTGCCCTTTCACACTTGAACATGTGTAGTGGTTTGTATTGCCCGATAAAACTTTCGTTATGGATAAACATTCCATAAGAAGTCCACTTTGTGCCTAATGTTTATTATATGTAGGCCTTATTCACAATGAAACTTGTACATAAATGTTTATTGACATGCTGTTTAAATGCGACAGTGTTCCTTGATTTTCATGTACCATTCTCAAAGGTATGAAAAGACCAATTTGTTAAGTTATTGTATATAGCACAAGAACAAAAAAAAAAAAACAATTGAAATTTATTCTTTGCATGAAAAATGGGGTAAAAATATAGTTTTATTACAGATTACTTTTGTCTTCATTCAAAACAATCAAAAAATACAAATTGTTTTATGGAATTTAAAGTTTATAAATTGAAATGCTATAAGACCCAAAATGTTGTGTGTATGTCGTACATGTATGGAGAACACTCCATGGATTCTGGAAATATTGGTATTCAAAAAAGTGATAGACTGAGTTTTCACTTATTAACTACTCCCACTTATTTACACTTCAAACCATTTTTTCAACTAGTTCAGGTGAGCTGTTGGGAGGGGATAGCTCTTGGTCTTAGAGCTAGCAAATATATCGTCCATCACTGGGACCCAAGTTGAACACTCAGCCAGTTCATAGGGATTTTACAGTAAACTGCGCTATTCACAGGTTTTCTCAGGTTCCATTGATTTTCATACCATTCCCCTTTTATTATTACTATATCTACTAATTAGATTACTTGTGGGCCTCAATAGCCTCAGCAGTTGAAGGGCCTGTGTCACATGAGCGTTACTTTTGCGTGCATTAAGTAATGGGTATTTTAAAAGAACACTGTATCTTACGTGGGATGTCCAAAGTGCTTGTGTGCCGTTTCACATGCAATACATTGTTACTGTACGATGTACTTCAATGCAATGTTTCTGTGCAGGGGCTCTTAGTCCCCCAAAACAAATCAACCACTTAGAAAAGAACATTGTTCTTTTGGTAAGTGATCCCAAACTAAGAAAAGTTTGTTTTTAATGAAGCGTACCAGCTTGACAGCCAGTCATGATAATATTTGAACAATCAAAGGATCCAGTGTGTTAAAAGAAAACATAGATCTCAACTTAAAGAACAACATGACAGAACACTAATACAGTAAAACCTGTCTTAGCCAGAATCATTTGGGTCCAACATTTTTAGCCCTCTTGTACAGGTTTCCATCTTACTCAGGTTTGCAATAAAATCTACAATTAAAAATCACAATTATTGAAAGATGGAATAGGTTGCAGTAGTTTATCTCGCCTAAAAATTATATTTTTAAGAAAGAAAAACATCCCCAAAGAGACAAAGAAAATTACATACAGAAAAACAACATGAAGTCTAAGGAAACAAAGAATCCCTAAGAAGTAAAAGAAATATTATTTTCTTCATTTATTACAGTAATAAATAAATTTATTTGATGATTTACGCTTTGGCTATTTGCCTAGGTCCTTGTGAATACTTTGGCAATCACCTATAAAAAATTCCTTTCAACCACTCATTCTTGATTTTGACTTTGTTTTTAAGGTGTCATACACTTGAGTTTTCCCAACTTTAAATTTCTTTATGAAAACCTTGAAAGAAGTGTTGTTTTGTTCATGTTCTTCAATTAGTCTAATTTTCTCACCGAGAGATAAAATGTTCAATATGGTGCCTGACATCATAAACACTTGATTAACACAACTCCAACAACTCATCAAACTGAACAACAGTAAAATTTAGAATCACTGAACCCTAAGCACACATTACAAGAACTGTGGAAATATCACTTTTTGTATTTCCTTCCTACACATGGGCTTATGAAGGCCAGTGCTATTACAAATAAACAATGGCTTTGGCTCGACTAGCATGGAAAATACAATATTTTGAATGCATGGAAAATGCAAGGGTTGCTGAGAAAGCAAATGGATAAGTACAGCTCTGGGTGTTTTGTGGTTTGACGTTGCCCCACTTGCAAGTCAATGTTTAATTTTATAACAATAATTGTTCTCTGTTTTGTCTAGAATTTTTCATACTGTCATACTAAAAGTTTCTTTCTGTATCCATGATCTGCAGGTTTCTGGCTTGTCCATTGTATTTTGCATTGGAAAGTAGTTCTGAGATTTTTTCAAACAAAGTCCTGTTTCCGCCTTAGGTTATACTGTATCTATAATTCTACATATGTAGAAGGTTTTGAAAGCTATTAAGAGAGATGTAGAAAGTATCCTGTCCCTTATTTAAGGAGAATGTTTCTTTATTTCTATTAAAATATTTAAGGAATTTGAAAGAGGCCAGAAAGAACTAATTGCCAGTGTTAAGTTCTTTTCAGCCCCTCTGTCAAAAGAAATTTGACTGTGGAAAACAGAATTTCAAATGGCCTCACAACTCTCCAAATCATCATAAGCTCTTCATCAATTAGAAATAAAATTATTCTTGATATTGAACTGATAATTATTATCTTACAAAATAAATGTCCTCTATTTTTATTATGTGATAATGTAAGTCGATTGTTTAAGTTAAAAATGAACATGAAAAAATGTTAATGATTTTATTTAAGGAAATGTATTTTTTTTTTTTTGTACAATCAAATTCTAAAACTCACTGAGGCATCCTAAAACAGATTTTTATAATGTTATTTAATATATGTTTACAAACGCACAGTGTATAAAAAAAAGTATTTTCTTGAAATTAGCTTTGGTTGTTATGGTTAGCATATCAGACTTATACCCAAGTTCACGGGTTGAAATCCAATCAAAGCCGTGGACTTGTAAGGGGAAAAAATCTTTCGTAAGCCTTCTTTCAGATGGAAAGTAAAGCCAGCTGTCCCAAGTTGTAGATTTACTGCATGTAAAAGATACTCAAGCCTAAAATAAAACTGAGCTAAATTGTAATTGTTTCGTCACCCAAGTGATTTGCTGATAGACGGCAAAAGGATAATTCAGATTCATATGGTCATTCAGATTCACAAGGATTCATATGGTCAAGCAGAAGAGCAGTCCTGATGGCCTGAGCCTTGCCATGTAAAATAAGGCCTAATTGAATTGAATTCACTGTTGTGTACTATTTAGGTTTTTGGAACTATGTTGAACTTCAATGAGTCAGTTGAGTCATTCTTTATCTACCCACTGAACTATTTGTTTGCTTTATTACAAATATTTCCAGAAAGAATTACCGAAGCCAAAAAACATGTTAGCTGCCATATAAAGAAGCAATTGCTTCCCATCCATTTAAGAAATTTTGGGAGTGCCATCCATATATGTTTGAGAGTATAAACAGCCTGTACTTGTTTTATTGTTTTGTCTTCATTTTTTTGTGTGTGCGAGTGTGTATAATAGCAAAGATCAATCAACTTAGAAGTTGATTTGTTTTGTCTTAATATTGATTTTTATCATGTGTAACAACAATGAATGACTTAAAAATTTATATCTTTACATGAAATTTATATGTAACATGAGCAGTGAAAATGTTAAGGTGTTTATTGTGAAATAGGCCTAAGGTTTTACAAGGAATTGATAGATGTTTCATGCAAAATTAAGATATTCAAGAAGCGTGTGTTACCATGCCAGTTACGCAAGTGGACTCTAAAAGATGGTTCTGTTTTGAAGAGTGAAAGTGCCAGTGCTGCATTTCGACTAGTCATAGTAAAAGAAATTGTCATAAGGTTTTGATGTTTTTTCATACATTTAGTTTCAAAGCCATTGAAATAAAAGAACTGCAGAATGAGGAAAATTTAAATTGTCCAAGGGACTATATTAGGAATAATATATCTTTCTGTTATTTCTTGACCCACAATTTGGATTGTAGGAAAAGAAATAATTTAATTGTTAATGAATTTTAAATGCCATCCCTGAAAAAAGCAAATTAAGTACTTCTTATAGATTTCATTCTCCTTTGGAAAGGAAAAGAGATCTAGGAATTCAACAGCACATTCTGAAGAGAGAAAAAATTCAATATTTAAGTTCTTGTTTTATAATATTCATCTTGCCAATCTGCAGTGTTCTGCAGCCAAGATCATTTAGTTCTTTTAACAAAGAATATGGTTACACTACTTTTATAATTAGTATAACCAAAACTACTTATAAAAGTATCATATCCTTGGCCATGCGGAAAATGTCAGGCATGGCATCACAGTGGCATGTAGTTGCAATCAGAAATATTATCAGGAGTATGAATGTTGCTAGAATTTAGCTCAAAAGCGTCACTATGGCTTGATCTTGATGTTACGTCGTCACAACTCATGGGTGTCAATTTGGCGCGGGTTAAGTCGCAATTAAGACATTTCAGAGTTTGTTCAGTATACTCTAGTTCAGTATTCCTAGAATTGTAATTCTGCGATACAAAGCCTTGTAATACTGCGCTTCTGTGACTTCCAGATTTTCTCCGTGAATTGTCAAATTGCCCCTCATTTTTCAGAAATTGCGTACTCTGCCTTAAGGATGATCGGGTATTAGCGAAGTAGAAGGAATCGCAACCACGTAGGTATGTTTGCCAGATATCCAGTTGTCTTCGTCTCTCTGGTCGAGAGTCTCTTGGTAAATCGAACGCATCTGACAACCCTACACATAGGTCTACGTGCTCATTTTCACAGGACTCGTGCGTAACTCAATTGAAATTTATAAAACTTTCACCTTATTGTTTTATCGCTCTTCCTGCACCCGCCCGAGAAACATATTCCCCTTTGGAAGGGCTCTGCAGCGACCCTGATTGGGAAGTCCTAGGGTTAGAGTTCCGACGAAGGCGAATTTTCGAAGCTAGTCCAAGAGCAAGTCAAATTGAACTGTTGTTTGGAGGAATATTCTATCGCCCGGCTTCTCTGATTGGTGGTTTCTCCTATTAATACCAGGCGAATACCGGAGCAATACCTTAACAAACGGGCCACGGACCACGCGCAATCTTTCCTTCCTCATCCTTGCCCCATTTCCATCAATATTGCTTCCTCATTCGGAGTGCTCACCACTAATGAATGGGAGCTTCTATGCTTATTTTGCTTGTAGATAAATATGCCTCTGAGATCCTGTTCTGCGGGAGAGAAAACAAGTCGCGCAATATTGCTAACCCTAGTTTTTAAACTCACCCTTCGTAAGAAAAAGTCTTGTAATCGTGAGCAGGAAAATACGAATTTTCTACAGAAACTTTTTTTTACCAGGACCTTGCAACGAAAAAGTGGATAAATATTATCCCTCTGTATAGAAAATTACTTCCTCTAACGTGTTGTGTAGTCTGAATCCATGTTTTGTGGGTCCTTAATACCAAAAATTCGATTGAGAGCAAAACGTCTTTAATTTTTCCAAAAGTACGCACCTCCAAAACAATTTTGATTCTTCGTACAACAACAATATTGAAGATAGTTTTTCCTAAATTAAATATATTCTTAATAGACGAGTCTTGAAATAAAATCATGTTCAATTTTTTTCGAAACTGTGAGATTTTGCGTAATTCTTGAAATATAGACAATTTTTAAATATCTCAAAAACTAGTTTTAATTCTTCGCACCTCGGAGAGTGAGTACTTGGCGAACTGACGTCTCATTCCCTTCAATTTGTGTTTGATCCCGATTGAGATTATTGGATTTTCGAAGGCCAGAAAATTTAGAGGCCATGTACTTGTGGCATGTAAAGGAACCCCGTCGAAATTACCCGCAAAATTATATTCTCGAATACCCGTCCAAATTACGATTTGGTTTATTGAGGAACGCCTAAATTAATGGATGAATAATTCTGAGACGTTGCGGTGTTTTGTCAAAAATACTTATTAGCATTAATATTCAATGTAACTTCTGTGTAAAATACGCCTGTAGAATCTATCCTCGTACTAGCGGAACCCGGCAGACGAGGACCCTACATTTTCCTGTCTCTCTTCGTCTTCCCCTTCCCAGCAAACATGTAATAGAATGTTCAAAAAATCTCATCCTGTAGATTGCGGTGTGAGAAACTTTTCTGTGAGGCCCCATGTGATCGAATTGGCCCCAAAATTTTAGTTTTTAATGCCCTAGAATGCTTTGTTTGGGATTTATTTAACGGTATCGATTCAAAAAGTCCTGCCGCGTGTGTTGTGGGTTGCATTTGACAATAATATTTAGTTTTGTTCTACAGCGCCATCTAGTAAATTTCTTTCGATATTTTAAAAGTTATTCTGCTATTCGGGGCGGAGATGAATCCAAAAATCAGATATAATTAGCATTGGCCCAGCCGTTCTTGAGTTATAATTAATGTGTGCGTGTAATTTTACTGTGCGAGTTAGGGAGAAACGGAAACTGAAGTTTGGTCATATTGACTACAATTCTGCAGTTTTTATTATTCTAATGCTTTTGAAACTTTGTTTTAATTTGAATTATTTTTGGTGTGTAAGTAAATTGTATGAAAAATAACATCTAAGTGTGATAACTCCCTCATATGAATGTAGATTTCAGAATTGCTGTTGACTACTGTTCTGTTATAATGTACATTTGAAGTCTTCCTTTGTGTTAGAAAATACAATAAACTCACTGTATGTTGGAAATTTAGACTGCACTAAACCCAATTTAATTTTTTGTTTACAAAGTGATGAAATATTGATGTTTCACTTCAAGTAGTACACCGACGTTTCATTGTACAACTCGGGGATGTAAAAAGGTAATTTCATGAAACAACTTTTGTACATTTATTTTTTGTGTGGTTTTTATTTATTTTTGTGCATTTTTTACTGTACATTTAGTATTGGCTGTGGAAATATATTACTTGCTCTGTTTATACCAACATTGCTTTAAAAATTATTATTGTATTTCAATACAAGATGGTGCCAGCAAGTCATGGTGCAGTGGCCAGCATGCTTGCCTTCCATTTCTGGTAGATTGTGAAGTTTGAGCCCTTAGTCACTTAATGTGGAGATTGTGATGAACAACGCTAATTCAGGAAAGATTTTCGACCCGCAGGCCTAGTGCGATTTCAAACGGAGCAGACCGGATTAGCCTTCAGCGGCCGTACTGAACACTCGTTCATTCACTTTCGGTTATGGCAGTATTGTTTATGGATCGACTTCCATATCAACACTTCGGCCTTTCAATACTATTTACAACGCTGGACCGCATAATCACTGAGCCTATCGCGCCATTCGCCTCGAGTGTCTCCTGGGAGACGCTGACGAACCAGCTTGAGTTCACGACGCGATATTCTGCTTTCAATCTGTGCAGAGAAACTTTCAGTCATACCGGATGATTCAACCCTTCAGGTTATCCTGTACCCTAACCACCGGACTTTGCATGCTCTTAAACGACCACTGCCTAATTTTACTGGTATCTGTTACCAGAAAATTCTAGAAAACTGAAATGTTCACACCCCCTTCCATGTGAAACTTTCCTGAAATCCTACTCTTCCAGGAATCTCCTTTTCTTCAGTAGACAAAAAACTGTGCACTCTCCCCCAAACAAACTTCTCTTCCTTTAGTACGCGCCGTTGTCCCCGTCACTATTACGTCTCGGGTCATGTGGGAATCACAGGCAAGGAGCTAGCTGACCGGGCTGAGATCGACTTGAAGTTGCTAATCGACATTCCGTATGTCTCCTCAGCAGACTTAAAAGCATTTCTGAAACTCTCCATATTCAGTCCTCGGCAGTCAGTGGCACAGTACTACTTTTAAATTAAGTGCGATTAAAGATTCTGTTAATTCTTGGTGTTCCTCATGCCGTGCCGCAAGGGATGAAGTAATATTAATTCCTCTTTGTATAGGCCATTGCCTTTTTTCTCATTGGTTCTTCGTTCGAGATCAACCGTCCCCCTCTACAACACGAGTAAGACAGACCTCTCCGTGAAACACTTTACTGTAAAAGTTTGTTGGGGCCAATATAAACATCGTGTGGACAAAACTCTACGGGAGGTGCTCGGCAACAACGAATACGCGCTCTCAAACCTCTTCCCCTTTGGGTGGGAAATTATAATATATAATATGTGAAGGATCGAGGCGATAGTAATAGATATAGCCAAAGCTTTTGATGTCCCACAGAATCATCGTGTAAAAAATAATAGCTTAGGGTGTGAGCGCGTGTTTTTGTGAATAAACAAATAACGTCGTGTCAGAGAACAGAACGTCCTAATCGGAAGATATTTAACGCGAGAAGCAGGAATTCTACAAGGTAGTGTCGTTGGGTCTCTCATGTTTTGCACCTTTGTGAATGATTTGACGACAAATTTTGATTCATTATGTACGCCTCTTTGTGGATTACTATAATTTATGTGGTTATCAAATCAGGAGAAATACAATATTTGCATTAAGACTTAAATAACTCTTCCGGGCGAAAACTGACACAAGAAAATAAACAGTTATAAGAGCAAAAGCATCACGTTTGGTAGAGGCCGAAGTTATAGTGAAATCGCCTACAAATTGAACAATAGTGTTATACCTGGAGTCACATATTGCATTTACTTTGAAACAGTTACACAGTAAATTGAGCTGGGAAAATCAGGTTAATTTCGTTATGATGACAGCGTCAAGATAGTTTTATGGATATTCTGGAGAATACCGTGTGAACTAAGGAATTAGCATATATGTCTATAGTGCGAATATGTTAGAATATGGCGCGATATGTTGAGAAATTCGCAGCAATGTAATTTAGAAAAGGTCCAGCGCAGAGCACCAAAATTTATTTTCAGTAGTTACTATGAATAAAAGGAGTAAGGGAGTCACACGAACAGGTAAAGTAGCGACTCCATACATCGTAAAAAGCGTTCACAGGTTATCCGGCTTGGAAATTCGTCGGCCAGGAAAACATACTCCGTCAGAGCGGACCACATGCACAAAATTCAAAGAAGTGAACAGAAAACGGACGTTGGGAAATTTCATTCGCGAACCGAACAACTAGAGACTGCGACAATCTTTTAACCATGATTAGGTGAAGGGTTAGGGTCAAATTTTTTTTGACAATTTCTTGTAATGTTAATTTATTCTATTTTCATGCGCAAGTTTCGAGGATTGTTGTCTCCATCATCAGGCTGTAAAATTGAATTTTGAAATTTTATAGTTCAAATTTAAAATTATTTACAATAAATATTAAAATTGAGAAATTATGACAGGGAAGAACTTACCAACACATGAGCGCTCACAAAACAAATGTTTTTTATATTGACATTCTAAAGCTAACGGTCACAGGCAGACATTGTCAATGA